ATACTGTTGTATCTCCCCGGATATTAGGCCTTTTTGTCCAGTGATAAAGGTTGAATGGGGAAAAAAAAAGCTTTAAGTACAAGTAGGCAAAAACACTAAAGATTACAGAAAATCTGGCTCTTTAAAAAAATGTATATATATTTTTTTACTTTTGCATAATAGTAAGCATGCTTCTTTTTTTTTTTTTTTACTGAACAACAGATAAACCCCTTTATCACTTTCGAATTTCAGAATTCATGAAGGAAACTGTTTAACACATAGCTTTACTCAAGAGCTCACAATATAATTTAATTACATTATATAGAACAAACACCATAAAACAAAAAAAATAGCTTTCGCAAGTGATAAAAATATTATAAAAACATAAATATCTTGACTTTTTAAAATTTCTAATAATAATAGCAAATCTCGTTTTTATACCTCCTCTCGCGATGTTTGAAAACTTTACTGACCATCCTAGCTAGTTGCTACAAAGCTAAAGCTAGGCTAACTAGCTGCAACTTTGTGATATGTTGTTAAGTTTACACCAAGTCTCAATGATGGTGCCTCCTTAGTGACTGGGACATGGAGTTAAGAAATATCAAGGACCAGGTAATAAATCATGTTCTTACAGCAGTCTAAAGTTAACTCAGGAAAAATTAACTTCACAGTTCTAAACAGCTGCTAATGCTAATCATGTTAGCTAGGCGACGCAGAAAGTTTTCAATAAGTCTAACTATAAGTTTCTAACCATGGACAGAAAATATATATATATATATTTTTTAGATTGTGGCTTTTCTGATATATTAGGCTTAGTAATAATAAGTTACAAATTCAGATCCCCTTCTTCTCTTTCCTGTGAGACTGCTTTCTGCACAAATCTAAGAAATTAAAACGTGATTTAATAACAAACTTTCTAATTAATATGTCCTTCACCTGCACTTCTTCAGTCTCCACTGGTTCAGGCCATATTCAATCAAAACGTTGAAGACGTGACATTTTTGTTGGAACACAATGAAGATGTCAACGCACAGGTACTGCCATGAATGCATCTCATTTACATTTAAATGTATTATATTTATGGTTCAATCCTCCTGTATGCTCCCTATTGTAGCTGCTCTGAATGCTTGCACTTTGTTTTCTGTACATGCAAAGTCACATGCATGCATGTTTTAGGAAATTGTCTTTTTGACGTTTCATGCAAAATGTCTGTTTAATTTTTTTACAAACTTGTTAGGAAGGTTATTCACTTTGGCATTTGTTTCCTTAATTGGGATAACCACAATAATTGTCTAATTATTTTACAAAAATGGATGCAGTTACATCAGAAGTCAAGGTCTATGTGTATATGTGGCTTCTGTGGCTTCAATAAATCACTTGTTTAAAAGGCCAACTGACCAACTGATGATTAATGCAAGGCTCACATTCATTATTTAATTGTTTTCATAATGATATAGCTTGTACTACATGTCACTTGAACACCAGAATGTGTACCAACAATGATACAATTATATATTGAACACAGATATGTCCTGCACCTAGTGATGAATCTACATTTTAACTCCACACCCCAGTCTCCATAAATGTGCACTCAACTGAATAATGAAGCTGATTGATGAAAGTGGAGCACACACTGGCTTATGATTTGACAGAAAACAGAAATATGCGAAAGCATTTGACACTCTGCTAGCCATTTTATGGGCGCTTAAAATAATTTACAACACATCTACACGTATGTGTTGAAAGTTACAACACAATTATAATGTGATGTAGTAATGGATACTATGACAACTTATGAACACTAGAGGTAAACTATTAGTCAGTAGTCATTATTGCAATATTAACATGTTTTTTTCTGTACTTGTGGATACAATCACATAGATTTTTATTTCAAACTTAAAAACTTAATTTTAATGTCAACTACACATATTTAGTAAAAGCAAACAAAAACAATGCCAGCAACCGTCACAGATGGTAAAATATGTTTTCTGCCATTCAGTTAATTGATTTTATCTCCCTCTTGATATTAGGACCAAGAACAAAGCACACCACTTCATGCTGCTGCTTATTTGGGCAATGTCCACATTATGGAAATACTTATAAGTTCAGGTAAAACAAAAAACATTTTTTTATTTATACCACCCTTGTATAATTTTTTTTAACTTGTAATAAATCACATAAATCAGTTCATTAAAGAGAACTGAATCTCTTCAGACCTGCCTGATGAAAAGCAGTAAAGATGTTTTGCCTTTTTTACAGGCGCACACATCAACGCTAAGGACCAGGGGATGCTTACACCTTTACATCGAGCAGCAGCCTCACGAAACGAAGTATTTTTATATGTTATAAAACACATTAAAATTATAATAAATGTAACTAGAAGTGACTAACAGATTTTCATGATTGATTTGAAATTTTTGAAATGTGTTTTCCTCGCAGAGGGCTGTGGAGCTGCTCCTGAAGCACAAAGCAGAAGTCAATGCACGGGACAAATTCTGGCAGTCACCGTTACACATGGCAGCTGTGAGCTGGGCCACAGGTTGTTCTGCAGCTCTGATCCCACATGTTTGTAGCCTGGACGTTACTGACAGAGCAGGAAGGACGCCATTACATCATGCAGCGCACAGCGGACACACAGAGGTAAGTGTAAAAGGCAGAAACATGAACCAGTGTTTTTTCCTGACAAAAACTTACTTTACGGCATTTTTCTCTTTTTTTTCCTCTTTATTTTAAGTTTTTTAGGGCCTATTCGACCAAACACAAAAGTAGAACTTGATTTTCAGTTTTTATAAACAGTTAGTCTAAACAGAAATAGTCATGGCTAACTTTGTAACCCAAATTATTCCATCAACTAGACTGCAATTTTTATTTTGAAGATGAGGCTGAATAAACACACTCATTTACTTGGTTGTGTTTCTGCAGATGGTGAACTTGTTTCTGCGTAAAGGTGCCAGTTCAAACGCCAAAGATAAGAAGGAAAGGCAACCAGTTCACTGGGCTGCACATCTTGGTGGGTAGTGTTTTGTCTTCACCTTCAAGCAGATGAATGAGAAGAGTTCATGTGTGAGGCCTGCTTTTCTTCTAGGCCATTTGGACATCATGAAGCTGCTGGTGTCTCATAGTGGAGAAATGATGTGCAAGGACAAGCGTGGTTACACTCCTCTTCACGTTGCAGCTGCTAATGGACAGTTAGATGTGGTCAAGTTTCTGCTGAGGCAGCAGGTGGAGGTAAAGTGGTTGCACCTTGGTCATAAAACACATATTTTTATACTCTAACCTATGTACTAGACACTACTTCAGCTTTGCCAAATGGTAGTATAAAGGGTGTGTATTTTTACACACATTGCTACTCGAGATGCTATGTATTAGAAAGGATGAGTTCACATTTGGAGTTTGATATTCTAATCCAGAATTAAGCTGTTTCATCTCGATTCAGTTTGTAGTTCAAATGGAACAGTTTTTTTTATTGTTGCTGCTTGGTAGAATAAACAAGAAGCTCAGTCAGTATGCTGACTGAGCTTCTTGCTTCATGCTTGATGTAATTTTTGTTTAAAAAAACTTACACATTTTTTAAATAATTTTATATTTTGAGATAAAGACATTCGTTTGGGTTCTAGTAGTCAGTAAACATTTTTTTTATCATTGGAGAGCTCACTACAACTTTCTGAACCGTGTAAAGACGTCAGAAATGGAACTTCCATGTTTCACATAAAAACAAAAAATAAGGCAGGCAGATCTTTATATTTTGGTGTGTGTGGTTTTTTTTTTGTTTGTTTGTTTTTTAGTCAAAGAGTACCAGCGTTTTCTTAGAGACGGATTGAGAGGCAGTCTGTAGACTTTACAAAGGCTCCAGTGACTGTCTTCACTTATTAAAATGATATGCAGGCAAAGAGCAGTCACACCAGAGTTTGTTTTAAATCTAAGTGCAAAGAAAAGTATTTACTTTAAAGTTAAAGTTATATCAAGAATTCCAACAAAGTTCAGTCATGTCATCTAGATGTTTTTTTTTTCTCTGTTGAGACGTTTTGTCCTTCATCCAAAGGACTTCATCAGTCTGTGGAGCCACAAACAAACTCAGTCCCACAAGCAGCACACTCCCATAGTGGACCAACCAGTTTGCTGGTGATAAGATTGTTTCTGGGGTCCATTCTCTCCCCCGTCGACTCCTCTGAGGCAGCCATAGCCTCATAGAGGCCCCAACCTTTATTTCAAATGATTATGTTGCACATACAGTGAACAATTGGTGATGTTTCGTTCATATTTTTGCCTCTCAGACTGATGAACCCAACACTTTTGGGAACACCGCCCTCCACATGGCTTGTCACACAGGGCAAGACCTTGTAGCCACTGAATTATTAAACTGCGGTGCCAACATAAACCAGCCCAACTCTCATGGTGACACACCACTGCATCTGGCTGCTGCCTCCTCCAGCGGTGCGTTGTGTCTTGAGCTTCTTGTCAACAACGGTGCTGATGTCAACATGCAGGTACTGTTTTTGTTAAATGGAGTTGAAAAAGATATGCAACAAGAAAATGAAATATCTCTGGATTTCTAGATTGTAAGAATTGTGATGGTTTGTGGAAGTATAATAAATCTGTTTTCTTACATTTGTATAAAAGAATAAGGAAGGAAAAAGCCCTTTACACATGGCTGCAATGCATGGATGTTTTACAAGCTCCCAGTTTCTAATTAAAAAAGGTAAAATACTGTAAATCACAAATGCAGCATGCTTCTGTAGCAGTGAAAAAGCTGGAAACTTAAAATGTAGATCAAATACATAACTTCCTCTCTATACAAAGGTGGGGAGATCGACTGTGTCGACATAAATGGAAACACTCCTGTTCACATTGCTGCCAGATACGGTCAGGAGTTATTGCTCAGTATTCTGCTGGCGCACGGTGCTGACAGAGGCAGGTGAGTCTGTTTGAATGTTTCATGATAGTGTTATCTAAAGAGAATATATCAGAAAATATTTGATGCTCACAAACCACCGGTGTAGAGTCTCAGTCATCCAGGACATGATAAATTTTAAAACATAAAAAAAAACAAAGCCACTTTACTTCTATTCTATAGTTGAAGGTGTTGAAGGTGACTAACTTGGCGCATATGCTTGTGAAAAAAAGTTTGACCAAGGCCTTGTGTTGAGAGGGGCCGGGTAAAGCTGCTCTGTGAACAAAATGATGCAATTTTCATCATGCAACTATGAGGAGAGCCGATTTCTGCGCTTCGGATGGAGTATGCCGGGCCCTTTATACTTGCAATAACAGCATTATAAGATGGGGTTCAGTTGAACATGGATGCCTCCACCCCTGTTTAACAATGGACGGGTTCTCTTCACAAAGATGGCTTCCTTTACTCCTCTCAAACCAGTGTTCCTCTCTGTCAAGGATGTGAACATCTTCTTCCCTGAAAGAGTGACCACTGGCCTGCAGATGAGTGTAGACCGCAAAGTCCTGGCCTGGTGATGTTGCTCTTCTGTGCTGGGCCATCCTTGGAATGACTGTTCAGTTTCCCCGATTTAAGCCTCCACACAATATTACTTTGTGCCGGGGACTGGATCTTTGGGATGGACCAGTCTTTGTCATAATGTAAAGCCACTGGGATGTCATGTTTAGAAAATAAACATCTCAGTTTCTCTGAAGCTCATGCAACATACAGAATGACCACTGGTCTGGGTCTGGGTTCCTCCTTTTCACGTGATGGCTGGCTGGAGTCCTGTTTGGGTTTCTTCTCTGCTTTCAGGAAGGCCCAGTTAGGATATCCACATCCAGGGCCTGTCTTGTGTGGGATTTCTCCTTCTGCCTGGCTCCTGAGTTAGTGGGGATGCTGTCTGCTCTGTGGTACAGAGTCCTGATGACTCCTAACTTGTGCTGCAGAGGGTGATGGGAGTCAAACTGCAGATACTGGTCGGTGTGGGTGGGTTTGCAGTACACCTCAGTTTGCAAATGTCCTCCATCAGAAACTGAGACCTCATAGTTGTTAAAGACGGGAGGTGGCTGTGGGTCACCGGACCCGGAAACCCCCTCCAGCCCACATCTTTCCCCCTGGCTCGAATCTCCCTCAGAAGTGGCAACTCTCATTATCAATAAATCAAGGAAATGCCAATTAAGTTTTATCAATTATATTGAATCAAGGCAGGAAAAGTTTACAGTATAAAGTGCTGGTTTCTCCGGTCTGTGACGCGTTCACAAACCCGGAAGAACCCGATGTCCCGTGCCATTACTCATTTATAGGGTCCTAGACTCCTCCTTCGCAGAAGGGGAGCTCAACCTGTCTGTGTATGAGGGGGCGTGACTAAGTGTGATCTCAGTGGATCTTATGTGGTTCTGATGTGTTAGGAAATATGAGACGGTGCTTCAAAAGCCTTTCTACGTGATGTGGCAAGCAGATTAAACTCTATTCCTTGACAGATATTGAATCCCAGGGAGACTCTTTTTAGGGTTGCTGGCCCAGTTTAACCCAGTCAGAACTGGGTCATAATTTCATTATAATCCCATCTCTGAGCAGATCAAAACCATAGGACCAGTCTAAAAATATCTTAACAAGGAAGCCAACCTGCCATCTTTTACATCTTCTCATGTGAACTTGATGTATTTATCCACAGAGTTGACGTGGTCAGTAAAATGTTGGACTTCCTGAGATTTAATTTTAACCCAGGTGTCATCAACATACCTGAACCAATGATTTGGTGGTGTCCCTGAAAAGGACGTCAAGGCTCTCTTTTCTACCTCCTCCGTGTACAGGTTGGCAACAATAGGAGAAACTGGAGACCCCATAGCACACCCATGTTTCTGCCTATAATATTGCTCCCCATATGTGAAGTAGGTTGACTGCAGGCACAGTTTCAAGAGTTGACACAGTTGTTCTATGGAAAGCGTGGTCCTGCTGCTCAGAGTGGTGTCTGATTTTAACCTTAAACCGACCACCTCTACTGCATCATCAACAGGAATGCACGTAAAGAGTGATGTGACATCAAAAGAGACCATTGTTTCATCAGTCTCCATGATGACATGCCTCACCTTGTCCACAAAGTCCATGGTGTTCTGTATGTGGTGTTCTGAGCTGCCAACTAGAGGAATGAGTACAGACGCCAGATATTTGTAAACATTGTAAGTGACAGAGTTAATCATGCTAACAATTGGTCTTAAAGGTACACCTTGTTTGTGGATTTTAGGTAAACCATACAGACTAGGTGTGGCCTCCCCTGGGTACAGTCTGTGGTACAGAATACGGTCAATAGCCTTGACCTGCTCCAAATGTTTCAAGCACTTTATCAGCTTCCTGGATCTCTTTTCAGCGGCTCATAAGTGGTTTAAGTTACTAAGGAGTGTCATAAATTTCTCCTGATAGTCTTTCTGGTTCAAAATCACTGCACCTTCCTTTGTCTGCTGGGAGGATGATGTTTTTATCCTTAATGAGAGCGGTGAGTGCATCACTCTCCTCTGCTGATGTTGAAAGGTGATGGTTTGGCATTGCTGAGGGAGGATGAAACTTTGTTCCTAAGTTGTTCTGCTTCAAACTCTGACATTTTGTTGTTGTGGATGGCCGATTTTGGTTGCTGTTAGGATTGAGGAGTTGCCGGTAAATTGTTTTGGTTGTTTGGTCTTGGACTACAACAATGCACTCAATGACAGACAACACACCGGGAGGCAGCCACATGCCAGGGAGACCCATCTTTGCCAGAGGACTGGACGTTGCTGTTGCCTAGAAGAATTCCTCTGGTGGAGATGATCACAGCTGCAGAATCAGCTGTGGATACTGGTTCATGTCTAAATAGATAAAAAGTCAAGGTGGACCCTGTTATTTCAGGTTCTAATGTAAAATTGTTTCGCCACCTAGCGGATACACATTAACGTGAACAATGTGATCTCTACAGACATGGAGTTCATGGGATGCTTCCACTGCATTTGGCAGCTCTCTATGGTTTTCCTGATTGTTGTCACATGTTGTTGTCTAACGGTAAGAATCGCTTTCACTCGTCCAGCTCTATTTGCTCCGCTGCAGTACATCTGAGGCACTTAAAACAACTCAAACATGTTTTTCCCACTCAGGCCAGTTTTACAACATTGGGTCAGCTCCAACAGCTGATCAAACTCAAACAACAGAGTTTGATATAAACGCCTTTGACGATCATGGCAGGACGTGCCTGCATGCAGCTGCTTCTGGAGGGCAAGTGACAAACTCACATTTATCTCTTTTTTTCTGTTCTTTCTCTGTAAAATTAACAAGATTGAACCCAAACTAGCAGTAGAAGAAATAAATTAAATCAACAATAATTTTGCTCAAAAGGAGTGCATTAAAGGAACATAAAGGCATTAATTTTAATTGGCTGTTATTTAGATGTTAAGTTGGTTAGTGACACATCATTACTTGAGGAAAAAGACTAGCTACCTTTAAAAATTGGAACTTAAATAATTTTTGTCTGTTGTTTTCTTGATAATAATAGGTGCATATAAAAGAACCATTAAACAAAAATAAGTCTAAATTGTGCGTTTTACAGATATTTACTGTTTAACCTTCAGAGTTGTCATATTACTAACAGTGATGATCTTTTTGTTTTGCAGAAACGTTGAGTGTCTTAATTTGCTCTTAAGCAGCGGTGCCGAACTGGATTCGAAGGACAATTTGGGAAGGTAAGCGTTAGAACAGCTACAGGTAAGAACTGTATTTGTTTTGTTTTTGTTTGTTTGTTTTACTTCCTAATGTAATATCGTCTGTCCTCTGTTCTGCTTTCCAGATCTCCTCTTCACTACGCTGCAGCGAACGGGAACAGCCAGTGCACAATTTCTCTGGTGAGAGCCGGAGCAGAGGTCAACGAGGCGGATCTGACGGGCTGCAGCCCTCTGCATTACGCTGCTGCTTCACACATTTTCTGTCGGTGAGAGCTTTTATCCTCGTTTTAATTTTATACAGGCTTTAATGAAATATGACAAGGACAGCAGGATGTGGAGATGATCCTCATTTAAAATTCAAATGTGTTTTTGTCCACAGAGAGGGAACAAACTATGAAACAAACCTCAGTATGGGAAAGGAACACGAAACCTTTCTGTAAGTCACATTTTACACAACAAATTGCCTTTTATTTTTATACACACCTTTAAAACTAAGATATATTTATTCACCAAAACAATTAAATGTATTACTTTTCGGCTTTCCCTTTTGTCAAAGTAAAATGTGCATATAATTAAAATAGACCAACTCATTATTAATTTTCCAGAAACAATAAAAAATAATTAAGTATTTATACACAGTAGTCCCTCATTTATCGTGGGGGATCCGTACCCTGAAGACCTGTGATAAGTGAAAAACTGCGAAGTAGGAATCGTAGTACAAGTAGTAAGTACTGGTAGTTGTTTATTTTAGTATTTATATAGATATACTGTATATTAAGGCGTTGTAAAGCCTTCCCACACTCTTGCATTATTATAAACAATGTTTCTAAACTAAATGCTCTAAAACAACACAGAATGTCATGATTTCAGCTCCCTGCCTCGTCTGCTCTTTGCCACCTGCAAGCGCTCTTGGCCACACCCATGTCTCTGCTCTGCACGGTGAACAGCTGATCAGCTGCAGCAGGAAGTGTATCCTGCAGTATGGGCTGCACAAAGGTGCAGCAGGTGCTAAATATTTTAAAATAATGTATTCTAAATAAAAATTCCATGCCGATCATGCGGCTCATCCATCAATCAGCCAATTGTGTGTCATGTCCAGTCTTATTTTGAAAAACTGCAATAGAGCGAGTCAGCGATAAGCGAACCGTGAAGTAGCGAGGGACTACTGTACATGTAATTACTTAATTTTACATTCCTATTACTGGAAAATGAGTAAAATAACAGAGAAGAACGTTTCTGGGGCGTTTTTTTCTTCACTTTTTGTGAATTCAGGTGTTTGAATTATTTGCTTGACAACGGAGCAAACCCAACTCTGAAGAACAGCAGGGGCTACAGTGCTGTTCACTACGCAGCAGCCTATGGAAACAAACAGCATCTAGAACTGGTCGGTTTTCTAATGAATTTTCTCACTTTTAAATGTATAAAATACTTACTGCAGGCTGAACCTATTTAAAGCTCTGTTATCTTTGCAGCTTTTGGAAATTTCTTTTAATTGTCTGGAAGAGGTTGAAAGCAATATTCCTGTCAGTCCGTTGCACTTAGCTGTGAGTAATAAATTAATGAAAAAACAAATAAATGTAAAACTTTTCTTTAGATTTCTTCTGTTTTGCTCCTGCAGGCATATTATGGCCACTGCGAGGCGCTGCATTTGTTGTGTGAGACTTTGGTGAGCCTGGATGTGCGAGACGTTAAAGGCCAAACTGCGCTCCACCTAGCTGCTCGGAGAGGCTTTTCCAAATGTGTGGGGGTTCTGTTGCAGCATCAAGCATCCTACTCACTGAGGGAGCTCAGGCGCAAGTGGACAGCTCTGCACGCTGCAGGTGGACATTCATTCATCATCACACTCCTTCACTTGTATGATGTTCATTTTTTCTTTTTAATTCCATCGGACATCTTTTAGTAAATGTCTGCGTCTCATCGTCTCTTAATTATTTTTTCCTGCTCAATCAGCTGCGGAGGGGCAAGTGGACTGTTTGCTTTTATTGGTCAACAAGGAACAAAGTGCAGACATCATTGACAGTCGGGACACGCAGGGACAGTGAGTGGAATCTGGTTTGTTTTCTTCAGACGTGCCATGTTAAACGATTACTGTTATTTTTCTGATGAAGAAATGGAACTCCTGCACCGTTTTCATTGGTGTCTTATTCTTCAATGCAAGCAAATCCATTTTATTGTACTTTCTACACTTATTGGTCATTTTATTTTTGGTGAGAAAATCACTGATTTAAATTTCAAAACTGTCTTTCTGCTGTAAAGCAAATTTTAGACCATAATCCTTGAACAGATGGACTAATTTAATGATAATTTAATGGTGAAAAAGAACAGATTTGTTCAAAAAATGTGTATTTCTTGATTCATATAAATAAAAGTACAAAAGGATTTTATTAAACTGAGTAATGTTTAAGCACAGAGCAGTTAAAACAATTAAAGCGCTTCATATAGTCCTTCTTAATTCAGACTGTCAGTTTAATGTAGTCAGTCGGATCAGAACATTATTGTGCTTCACTCCTAAAACAAAACGTTCTGTCCGTGTTTCAGGACGGCTCTCACGCTTGCTTCACTAGGATGTCACACCGACTGTGTTTACATCCTCCTGGAGAAAAAAGCAAATGTGGATGCTGCAGATAAACAAGGTTTTACTGCCCTGCACAGAGCTGTGAGTGTGTGCATGTCACACTTTGGTTTTTAAATTCACCTAACATTATCTAAAAGTTTTTTGTTTCCCTGAAATAAAAGCTTTTCCTCGTGTCTTTCAGGCGATGTTGGGCAGCGAGGACTGCCTGTCTGCTCTGTTGGAACATGACGCCTCTGTCCTCTGTAGAGACTCTCAGGGAAAGACGCCGCTTCACCTCGCAGCATCCTGCGGTCACACAAAGCTGCTCCACACTTTACTAAAGGCTGCTAAGAAAGCCGACCCTCTGGACTCCTTGTTGGACTTCAGAGGCTTCACACCCACACACTGGGCTGCATACAACGGTGATGATTCATTCTCAATTCTCTAACAAAACCAGTGTGAACAGAGAGGAAAACACAAATGTAGGAATGTACCTTATTATTTCACTACCTCGGCAGGAGTGAAATAATTTAAAATCATTTTTCTGTTTGTTGGTTTTCTCAGGGCATGAAGGATGTTTACGTGTTTTACTTGAAAACAAACTGTTTAGCAACCGAGAAGGAAATCTTTTCACTCCACTGCACTGTGCTTTGTGAGTATAAGAATGCTAAGAATAACCTAAACTCTACATGTTCGCACGTTTATTAGACACCCATTAAGATAATTTCAGAGTTGTTTATTAGCTTTTGAACAGGTCTTTGCTTCAAATGCAGAATCAGTGGACATGATGCTGCTGCTGAGCTTCTAGTGAAGACCATTGGTCCTCAGCTTGTCCACGTTAAAGATGCCAAAGGAAGGTGGGTAAATATATTTT